AAGTGCGAGCGTGACAATTACGACGAAACATGCAGCAAAGTCAATGCTAAATTCTCCATAAATGTGATATTTACGTTAAGTCGGTGGCGAAAACCTCTCACACGACACGGTCAGCAGTCCATGAGAGACTGATAGAACCATGGACGATAGAGGAGTGTGAGAACCACATTCGTTTCAACAACGGCGCCGTGGTAGAACAAGCCGAGAGCATCGTTAATTGAGGTTATTTCAAATATTAAAATAATATAGGTTTAAATGGCACAATACGTTACAATTGTCTCATTTTCACTTTACAGACGACGGAATAACTTCGTTACACATGTCGAGAGAATCGTTTTTACACGGTGTACGAAAATACATTAACGAAAATGATTACGATGTTGAAAAACTCACAGGTAAAACTTCATGCAACCATACATACCTCGTGACATCATCGATGCAGTGAACCAATCAGACGCGTTGTTTTGACCGTGATCAATATAAACCGCTAGATTGTCACATCAATTTTTGTTTCTCTATATTCAGAAAAATCTAGACAAACTTACATAACGCATAAGCATATGCATAAAGAAATGGATTGCTCTATTTCTTTGTGCATCTTTTTATAGAGCAATCCATTCTCTTATGTATATGTTATGTGCTATGCAAGTTAGTATGGATATATCCTTATTAAATCATTTTTCTCAAGCATAATTGACCGCTGGGTGGCGCACGGAGCAGTAGCCATTTTACATTCGCTATGGTGGCACGGAGCGCAATTGAAAGATTCTGTTCGCAAACTCTCTACGTCGTCTCATGCAGCTTGGAAGCGAGTTGTAAGTAAGCCGTGAGTTCAATTATACGTCCACAACGAATTTTCGTCTCGCGTCCTATTACGACAATACCAGTAATTTATCACTGCTCGACGCGAGTGACGAGCTCGCGGACGTCACGATGGTCCTGGCAGAGAGAAACTCTGAAAACGTACGAAACGGTCGCAGATCGCGAGGCCCCAGCCCAAACGCACAGACAGACTCCTCTAGCGAAGAGGATGGAGGTATCGTTCAATTCCATCTTATTGTCGCTATCAATCTGCAATTATTGTAACATTTATCGCACGTAGAGAGTATTTAAGGAATTTAGAGAATTGTTTGGAATTTTCCCTGAGTCAGGATAGTGAATTTACAATTTCCTCTTAACAGAGTATAAAAATCCAAGAAAATCTTCGAACAGCGCGCTCTTCTTTTTGCCGTTTAAACACTTTTGCAGTCACAAATGTCACTTGGAATCGCAAATATTTTGTTCTTATTATATAAAAATATCTTCCAAAAAATATTTTTCTTTTACAATAATATAATAATAATAATTTAAATGGATGCGACATTTACATTTATTTTTCACATTTGTGTGCAGATAACTAAAAAAAATTAACAAAAAAAATTATTAACATTTAAAATTAAATAAATAAATATAAGAATTTATTGTTAAAACTTCTTGGTCAGTTACAAAAGTAATACAAATTTTTTTTTATAATTTTTGGTTATGGTTTTCATGCATTGGTTTTGGATCGTACTATTTCTACTTATTTAGTATTTCTTAAATAATATGTTACAAGTTTGATAGAAATTTTAACAATATAATTTTTTATAAGTTCCAGCAGAAAAAATAAGAGTTGGGCGAGATTATCAAGTTGTTGTTCCCGAATTTGTGCCTGTTAATGGTATGTCACTATCTTTACATATAGTTTAAGAAAACTGCAGAATTAAGTAGTAAAGCATATATGACGTGTTTTAGAACGTCGATTAGATCAATGTCCTGATAGGGCATTATTAGTTTGGTCACCTACTACAGATATACCGGATCAAAAATGTAAGCAAGGAGCAATATGCATAAATCAATTAATTTGTTCAAACAAGAGTTTATAGCTATTAACATATATTTTGTCTTTTTTTTTCTTTAGTGGATGAATATATTATATTAGCCAAAGAGAAATATGGTTACAATGGCGAACAAGCATTGGGAATGCTATTTTGGCATAAACATAATTTGGAACGTGCAGTTTTGGATTTGGCGAATTTTACACCATTTCCTGATGAATGGACAGTGGAAGATAAAGTATTATTTGAACAAGCGTTCCAATTTCATGGCAAAAGTTTTCATCGCATACGACAAATGGTACATTTATTGCTGCTTTTTATCAATATTTCCTCTACAAAAATTTATTAAAATTAAGTAATAAAATAGTAAAATTTATTTTTTTTTATGAATTAAAACTTGTAGGATTTTAATAATTTGATAACAAATATTTTAATGCAATGTAAAACAAATAATTGTCAATTTAAAAAAAAAATTATTTTTAATGTAAAAATTAATGTAAAAATTAAAATTATAATGTTTGGTCATTAATGTTATAACTGTTTTAGATTGTAAAATTACATGTAATAAACATTTAGAATTTGCAAAAATTTATTAAATTTTTTATATGTTAGAAAAGCTTTGTAATAAATATACATACATTAATCTTCAAGTTCTCTATGCATAACTTGTATGAGATTAAACTTACGAAATATTTAATAAAACTTATACATAGTGAAAGAGAAAGGTGCAAAAAAATACATTATTATTCTGTAATGTCTTCAATGTTACCATTAATATAAATAATTTATTTCTGATGATTTATCTGTACAGTTACCGGATAAATCTATTGCAAGTCTCGTGAAATATTACTATAGTTGGAAAAAAACACGAACTAGGACATCATTGATGGATAGACAAGCACGTAAATTGACAAGTGGTTGCAAAGAAGGCGAGAATGGCAGCGAAAACGGAAGCGAGCTCGGCTCCAACACAGACAGCGAATCCGAAGAAAAAGTAAGATCTCTCAAAAGATAATTTGATTAATAAATTTCAATGCATGTGCTTTGATTTTTGTGTAAAGAAATATTTGCTTCTTTTTTTCTAATTTTTTTTATTAAATATTTTAACAAATGTAAAAGAAACAAAATCTAAGAAAGAGAACAGTCTAACGTTAAAATATAATAATTGCAGCAAAGGGTGATCCTTTCTATTTTTTTTATCTTTTCGTAATATTCGTTCAACATACACTAATATTATCCTCCTCCCCTCCATTCCGTGGTAGATGTATTTTTTCATATACAAGCTTACTACTCTGGCTGTTTTGCGCAATTATATTACAACTCGTTACGCTATCATGGTACAAATTGGTAATCTGTGGAACAACAACTATTTGGCAACTTGCTAATAAAAACTTGCTATAAAAACATTACAAAATGTATCCACACGACAATATGTCGAACATGAATGAAAGGAGGATAAAGAAGCTATCTTATATAACACGAATGGGTGGGAAGAAATCAATCAGATCATCGTGTATATAATTTTAGTCTTTCATGCAATATTTAAAAAATCTTGAATCTATCTAAATGTTTCGTACATAAGCTATAGTTTAGTTGGACGTTATGTCGGTATATGAACGTAAATGTGGGACGTTCCAGAAATGGACGATCCACCGCGGAATACGTCGTGGAAAGAACCAAGCTGTGCCAGGAAGTCAAGGCACTGACGCTAAGGCCCCATCCGACTCGGAAAACGCCCCTCAGGTTCAGGTACACAGCCTAAACCTTACCCACTCGCATATTATAGTATATAGTACGCTTTATTACTGTGTTTTGCTATATTTAATGTATAATACACATAGATTGTTTCTGGCATAAATCAATGTTATCTTTTCGAATCTCATCGAAATTCTTCGTGTCATCGAAATAGATAGGCTGAAACCCTATTGAGGAAATAAAACAAAAATATTTCCAAATCTGGAACATCTAGTTCGCCAAGTTGGTTTGACGGCCAATGCCGTGGTTGAATAATTAAGCCAACTGTGCAAAATGCGAAAATGCATTTAGTGTTGTAGAAAACGGGACTCAAATCGCTTTGATGATTTTTTTTTCTAACATGTTATAAGCACTCTAAGATGATAAATAAATTGTAAAGTGGGAGTGGGTGGGTAGGGTTATCAAAATTTTGTTCTTAAAAGGGTGTTATGTGTTGTAGGGCTCGTGTAGCAACTGTGGCGTTGCGTGCCATAGTGTTCGTGCGACGCCCAAGGGACACGCGTGTCATAGCTGCTATCTACATTGGAGGTCAGTGAATGTAACGTAAATTAGATCCCAACATTTATCAAGTGTTCTATCGCAATTTAATAAGAACGCCTGAAAGGATATTCATATGAGAAATGAATTAGAACAATTTGAAACTAGACAATTCATCATTTTTGCTGATTGAAAATATTCTTATATCGACAAGTACTTGTATTTATGAATATTTAAGCAACTAAAACTTATGAATATCCTCGCGCGTAAACTCGCTTATCCCCATATATCGTTTTAAACCATGTTCTTATAAATTAATTGATAAATTTTATTGATGTGAGAATACAATGTAGATTAGCCTTATATCGATATCTTTAAAATTACATTCTACATTTTTTGATGGTTTAGGCGCACTGGTGTAGCAAGACCGTTAACTTCCATGCCGGGTCGTACAAATAAAAGAAAACCGCCCCGTGGCTTGGTTGTGAATCACGATGATTTGGCGGCATTGGCTGGTCAACCGAACCAAGCCAACAACAGCTTGCAAGCGATTGATACTGAAATTGTTAGCTTAAAGCGTCAAGTATGTTGATCACAATATATATCGTGTGGATACATTTTCTTTAACTTTCTATATATAATCTATTTAATTCTCTAATGCTGCTGTTTAATTTTTTATATGCGTCACGAAACAAATGCGAACACTTGCATTTTAAATTGCTAACAGGTGATAGATTGAAGTTTATAAAGTAATCTTTTAAAGTAGAGCGAAATTGAAGTATCAGGATTGCGCAGACGTTTAAGTTTACTTTTGTGACCAACTGTACTGTATTATTATTTTAATTAAAATATAATTATTTATGTATATATTCGTGTGTAACGTTATGTAATTTATCTGAAACCACAGATACAAGCTAATAAACAGCAAGTGAGTGCATTGAAGCGAAAGACAGTCGACGGTATCGATCATCTACGACCGCCTGAAGTTTCGAGCCGTATAAATGCTCGTTGGACAAGCGACGAATTGTTATTAGCCGTTCAAGGCATTAGAAAATACGGAAAAGATTTCGCTGCGATCGCTGAAGTTATTGGAACCAAAACCGAAGCCCACTTACGATCATTTTTTGTCAATTATCGACGGAGATATAACTTGGACGCGGTTCTAAAGGAATTCGAGGCTGAAAACGGTCCCATACTGATCGACGATGAGAAAGAAGAAAAGGTATGAGATGTTATGCATCTCGACAAGCTATATTGCACGTATTTTCATAGCACATATAAAGATATAAGAAGAAGGGCATCCAGAAAGGATGTATCTTTCAAGGATGTATCTTTGATCAGTGTGAAATCGATTTCTCCTTATATCCCCAAACATATCGGGAGATTAACTTTCTAATGAAAATGAAAGGATTATCACGAGTTGAGCTTTATATATGAAAATAAATGCAACAACTATTCTTGCTTTAAGGCAATTTTATTTCTCAATCTTTAGCAAATTGAAAAAATTACAAAAAAGAATCTAAAAATTTCTAAAAAATCAAAATTATGTTAAGAAAATTTTTATTCCCAATTTATCTGAACTTTTAATAGAATTGTAAAAAAGTTTTGTCATTTAACACCTTAAATTATATTAAACTAATTATTTAATGGATTTTTCAGATGGACGTTGATCAGTCCAACGATACCGCAGAATCTTCTCAGAAGGGAAAAACTTCCACTGGACCTGGGCAAGCTTCTAAATAACAAATGAGTACAATTTCGAGTACAAAACGAGAAAAGAATAATTTGCAGAATCAGCGATAATCGATAACAGCGTCCGAGAGGTATTTGATCAAATTTATGATTTTTTTTAATGTACTACTTTTTCTTTTTTCTTTTTTTTTCCATTTTATTACTGCCCCAGCAAAAGCGCCTTAGTATATTATAGCATAGGGATTTGCTTTTATAAATTTACATTTTTATTTAATTATTTATATGATATGAGTCACATAAACCCATATAAATAATCTTCATATTAATCAAGATAATTCAGTATCTACTATATATTTCTAGTAAGTCTTAACGTATCTTGTCTTGTACTCAAACATGGTGTCTATTACCTAAAAAACGTGAAAAACTTGGAATTTGTGTTGAAATTGTCTGTTCGAGTATCTATCTTTATTTTGCAATAAATCGGCAAAACTCTTCGCTTTTTTTCAGAATTTAAAAAAATTTTTTGAAATTTTAATGGCTCTTAATTTTTCTTTATAATTTGTATGAAGGGGCATTGAAAAGCCCATATAATAGAATAATTTATTTTAAATATGCATTAAAAATATTCTAATCTTGCTTGAAAATAAACAAATAAACAAAAACATCTAGGAAATCAGGGAATTCTTAAGAAATTTTTGTTCAAAATTTGAATAGATATCCTCTAAGGATGAACTTCAACTATTCATTTATATAAAAGATATAAAAGAATACTAAATAATTGAAGTTCTCACTAGGAGCATATTTGCAAAAAATGTAACTACGAAACACTTCTTACAATATGCACATGGTAGCATAGTACAATTTATGTTTAAGAGTATATTTCTGATATTGCTTTCACATACATGTGACGTGATAGAGCTTTTATTTGTCTTGTTTGTGTATTGTACAAATATATAACATTTTACGGATTTGTATTAATATATATATATATATATATATATGCACATATATATATATAAAACTAAGAACAATATAAGGTAAAAATTGATCTCATTTCAAGAAATTATACAATAATAAATTATCAAATATATCATAGATATTGTAGAGGTGTTGCATTTTTTTTTACAAGATTATATGGATTAAGAAATAATTACGCATTGAAGCTTTTGAATGAATTACGAAAAAAGTTTTAATTGTCTTGTTCAACTGTCTATGTTTTTAATTGCTACTCACACTACAATGAAAAACTATTACATTTCACAATTTTACTGCTTATATATACTCACTTGTGTGCCTTCGAAATTTTATTGCTCTCATAATTCTGGATAGTCTTGATGTTATTTTTTTCTTTTTGTTATTTAATAAAAGTTGTCTTATTAGTAGCAGAAACAAACACAGAAGGTAACATTTAATGATTTTTTTATCAATATAATTAAAAATTGAGTAAAATTATATACGAAAAGATCATCGCGCAACACTTTAACATTTTTCTTTCTGCAATTAAAGATTTAACATGTAACTTACACGCAGTATTGACAATCTTTTGAAATTATAATAAGCAGTAAGCTGGAAAGCAAAACAGTATATTTCATATTTAGTTAGATATAAACAGGATATAATTTTATAATTTATTACAGTGCAAAAATGTAGATATTGCCACTATAATTTACAATATTAAGACGCATAAATGTTAATGAGAAAAATCAAGAGATGGAGAAACACTATCCTCCAGATGGGGAAAAGAGTGTGTTATTTTCATGATAGATCGCAGTGTTGGTCAAAATTAATGCATACATTGCTAGAAATACATGCACGCATGCATTTATTACTAATAGCTACATTGAATATAGCGAAATAATAATGAAAGAGAACTACTTTCCAAATGAGCAAAAAAGATTTAGTGTCCCTTTGCGTTAATGTTTTGTGTGGAATCTGAGCTCTTCTTCTGTCACAAATCTGTTTACTGATAAGAACAATTTAGATAGGTTAATAAAACACACATTTTGCAAATTTATTTATAAGATTGATAGTTATTAAGTGATCATCTTTTTGTGTATGTGTATGTTAACTGCGAATAATATATACGAAAATCATTTTCTCTACAACGCTAGCTCTCTGTTCGAAAACATACAATAACGCTAATTAACGTTTGACGTCCGTCTTCTCGCAGAGAAATCTAAATCTTGCGACGCAGGATTTGCAAAGTTGTCGATTACGCTATCAAAAATATTTAAAAATATTTTGTTAAGTTGAAACGCGAATTATATGTATATCAGCACCTTACTTATTCAGAAAGTATCAAAATCTAACACACTATTCTTACATACATTTTTTTCATATTAAGATGTACACTAGCTAATAATTTACATTAAATTAATCTGCATAATATAAGTCAAAATTTAACGAATTGTCGATAAATAATGTAGATTTAATTTTGATAGCGGTAATAATGAGACTATTAGGTAAGTGTCTATAAGGGCTGAAGACTACAAAGCTATTCAATTATTAGCAAATTGATGCCCGCGCCTGTGTGAATATGTATATGTGTGTATGCATGTGTATAAAAATAGATGATTGCACGCATGCATATATCTTCGTGTATGTGTCGCGAGATAAGTCGCAATAATTAACTAATTTATCTCTTTTTTTTTTTTTACATGAGCACGTTAATGAAAATCTATATTTATCTATAGCGACATATCACGCAAATGCAATAGATTTTACCGACATCATTATGATGATAATATAAAAGCGGAACTAAATGAGCGGAATAAAAAGCTTTGGTGCATTAAAAAGAATTAATCAGATAAATTATTCTTAGTTAGTACTTTTCGAAATGCGCGTTGCCGCGCATGAGAAATGCGTGATTTCCGCACGAAATCCGAGTTCCACTTTTATCGCAAATCTATTTTTCTCGAGATTAGATTTGTCCGCACTTTTGTGCGAATATCTTACGAAATGTTAATGCATACATATGTACCGCATTTTATTTATATTTACGTTAGATTCGACGTTACTCTTAAATATAATATTTTAATGTACTTGCGCATAATAGCACTCTTTCGGGAATTCTTCACAAAAGAGACGATTCGAGCGTATTAATGTAAGAGAAGGTATTGCACTATATGATAAATTGGATATATGCGAGGATGTATAATGTACGCAGGTTTCCATAGATATAAGGACTCCGTTGAGTAAGAAATGAAGGTTTAATGGAGTAAGTATTTGCTGCGTGTAACATACTTGTAATTGTTTGAAAGATGATAATACGTTTATTGTAAAGGAATGTAAAAGTATTCAGTATCTTTTGTACGTGAACAAAGAAATTCAAATGTCAAATTCGTCATTTTTAGCGGTTATTATGTATATAGCTATGTGACGTCGAAGAAAGAGCATCTTAAAGATAAGAAAAGGATTCTCTCACTAATGTAAATATTTTAAAAAGCGATAAAGCCTGTGTTTATGCATATTGTCGGGAATATGTGTATTGCACATTTGGCTAATTGTAAGTTGTACACATGTAATTATATAGAATTAATTAAATATGTCTTGTGCATTTTGCGAGAAATAAGAAATTATTTATTTCTAATATTTTCTTTTAAAGATACATTGTAAACAATTGTGTTATTTATTGAACAAAGTGGATTGAAAGTACTGTATAATTCCTCAATCGATCGATCTATTTTATATATATAGATAATGTGTAATTTATAAAATGTGACTTTACATTCTTTTAATTTTTATTGAATATATGTTTTTAATGAATTTTCATTACAAATAGACAAAAATGTATTTTATTTTAGAATATTGTTATATTAGTATTTTTTATTATGTGCTTTATAGTATTAAAATATATTTTTACAAAATAATACACTAGATACTAATATATTTATACATGTTCAATAAAAAAAAATTTAGTGCTTGTAACGTCATCTAATGGAACTATCAGAACTAAAAAATTTGCAAATGATTGCAGCGTTACCTAAACGGCATATAGCAGAACTAAAAAATTTGCAGGCGATTGCAGCGTTACCTAAACGACATATAGCGGAACTAAAAAACTTGCAGGCGATTGCAGCGTTATTTAAACGGCACATAGCGGAACTTAAAAATTTGCAGGCGATTGCAGCGTTACTTAAACGGCATATAGTGGAACTAAAAAATTTTTAAGCGATCGCAGCGTTACTCAAACGGCATATAGCGGAACTAAAAAATTTGCAGGCGACAGCAGCGTCACCCAAACGGCATATAGCGGAACTAAAATACTTGCAGGCGATCGCAGCGTCACCCAAACAGCATATAGCGGAACTAAAAAATTTGCAAGCGATCGCAGCGTTATTTAAACGGCATATAGCGGAACTAAAAAATTTGCAGGCGATCGCAGCGTTATTTAAACGGCATATAGCGGAACTAAAAAATTTGCAGGCGATCGCAGCGTTATTTAAACGGCATATAGCGGAACTAAAAAATTTGCAGGCGATCGCAGCGTTATTTAAACGGCATATAGCGGAACTAAAAAATTTCCAGGCGATCGCAGCGTTCCCCAAACGGTATATAGCGGAACTAAAAGATTTGCGGACGATTATAATTGATTATAACGTCGTTTAACCTAAAAGAGATCGCAGTTGGTCACAATTGAGAAACATAACCTATATGTCTTTGATTTTATAAACATTGTTATATTTTGGCAGTCATGAATAAATGGAGTAACATACGTAATTATTGAAAACAGAGCGTCTGCAAATTTATTTCAGAAAAATCGCAATGTCCATTCAATTTTTAAACATCACCCGGTCATTGACAACTGCCGCAAGATCCAAACGGCGTGTTGTTGTAACCGGAATAGGGGTTGTGTGTCCTTTAGGAGTCGGCACGCAAAACGCCTGGAAGGCTCTCATTAATTCTGAGTGCGGAATCACGAAACTTTCCGAACCGGATTACGACAAGCTACCATGTAAAGTAGGTGAGCAATTTGTAATATTGCACATTTTGTAGCAAATATATATTGAAATTTGTCTTATGTTTGTATGTATGATATTCTGTATAATATAAATAAATATTACCAATTATATAAAAACAATATGTATCAATTATATCAAGTAATTTATAAACTTTGAATTATAATTATAATTAACATCACTTGGATGTGACTGCTAATTATTAAATAACAATTCATATTCAATAGCTGCATTGGTGCCAAAAGGAAATGCTCCTCGCGAACTCAACATTGACTCTCACTTTACGAAAAGTGAACTACGTACCATGTGTCCAGCTACTGCATATGCGCTGATAGCTTCAGAAGAAGCACTCATAGATGCAAAATGGAAACCAAATGATGAAAATGACAAACGTGACACCGGAGTATCAGTAGGAATTGGTATGATAGACCTAGTGGATGTTTGCATGACGTATGAAGCTCTGAAAAAAGGATACAGCAAAGTCAGTCCATTTTTTGTACCAAGAATATTACCAAATATGGCTGCTGGTCAGATCAGTATTAAATATGGCTTTCGAGGACCAAATCACTCGGTGTCAACTGCATGCGCAACGGGTGCGCACGCTATCGGTAATTAAATTCGCAGAAACAGAAAAGGCTCTTTCACGTACGCTTACCATCAGTTGCACCTGAACTAACACATTGCATTCTTTAGGTGACGCATTCCGCTTTATTCGCGGCGGCGAAACGAGCGTTATGGTGTGCGGCGGTGCGGAGGCATGCATCAGTCCATTAGCCATTGCCGCATTCTGCCGCTTGCGTGCACTAAGCATCGCACGGAACGACACACCGGAAGAAGCGTCACGGCCGTTCGACCGCGATCGTGACGGTTTTGTGATGGGCGAAGGCGCTGCGATCCTAGTGCTAGAAGAGTTGAATCACGCGCTCGCCCGGAACGTACCTATCTATGCCGAGGTGCTGGGTTATGGCCTGTCCGGCGACGCGTCACATATTACGGCACCCAGCGAGGACGGTATCGGCGCGCTGCTCGCCATGGACCGAACGGTGAAGGACGCTGGCATCGAGAGTTCGGAAGTGACGTTTGTGAACGCTCATGCAACGTCAACGCCGTTGGGCGATACGATCGAGGTTAAAGCGATCGAGTCGTTGATGGGCGAGCACAGCAAAAACGTGACGGTGGCGAGCACCAAGGGAGCGCATGGCCATCTGCTGGGAGCCGCCGGTAATCTAGAAGCTGCCTTCACAATCTTGGCGATCAAGGAAGGCATCATACCACCTACGTTGAATCTGCACAACTTGGACATGGAGACACGTTTAAACTTTACGCCGCATACAAAAGCAAAGTGGAACACGACGACGCGTCGAACGGCTCTGAAGAACGCATTTGGTTTTGGTGGGACAAACGCATGTTTGTGCTTTACACAGTACGTAAATTGAGCTAGTTGAAAACTATCGCGATACGCGCAGTGCTAACGTGAAATCATTTATTAATAATTCTTCGAAAAATATCGATTTGAAAATGTGTGAAGGCACTCAAAACGACAACTAAAATACATAGAGCAACTGTGTTCCTTGATATTTTCGTTGCTCAATTCGTACAAAGGAGGAGACTTATTCTTAGGTAAGATTTATGCATACATAACATACGAAACGAGATAAAAGCCCGAGATAGACAAATTCGGTCGACGAATTGAATCTTACACAACTGATTATCAGTTGATGGCGGCTTAAATATTTTTAATAACTTTTATGCAACATACAATATATGTAAATACGATTTACGACAAAGATATTTTTTATATAGAATGTTTTTACACTGTGTGTAACGAAAGTTTTCCACAGAGAGGGGGTGTACATCAGAATATAATAAAATATATGTATATATATATATATATTATATTGGAATGTTCATTTAATATTAACAACATTCATTTAATTAAGATTCTGATAATTTTCCATCGCATTTCTACAATATGGACGCGAATCCATGTAATCAGATCGCGTAAACAATCTTGAAAATGAAAATTTTCAAGAAAATACAATACTCATCATGTACGCGGTAATCATAGGAGTGCTTGTAACAACTGTAACAACTTGTATACTGCACACAGTGGAATCGGATCTACTATATTCCACAGCCAAGACATATTTATACAAAATATCTACGTTTGCTTCAATTGTACAGGTTTATGCAATCAAATTCAATAGTCCTGCGGTTCGATTTGCGTTCCGTATTCCTCTTAAAGAACCGATTACTTGCTTATCCGATTTGAAATCAACTACTTTAATTTTGGTATCTTTTTCTATTTATCAAATAATATCAAAATCTTTTTCCTCTGCTTGCAGAGATTAAATAAATTTTATACCGTTTTTCTGCTTTCTTAACATTTTCCTAATTCTATTTCACGTCAGAAGATCGACTTCGAATGACAAAAGTGGTTTGAAAGACATATATTTCGTTCTATGAGAAAATAATCTCGATTAACGCTTCTGATAATAGTAAAGTAAGATAATAGTAAAATAATAAATAGATAGTAAAGAAAATTAAATAGGGATCATCTAACGCAGTGATGGATATAGATATATAATATTTGAGGCACCTTTTTTAATTCACAGTACAGCACAGTTTACGTCGATGTAAATTTGCATCGACATGAATATTTAGCATCATTATTTGTTAACGCGATGTTATTTATCGCCCAGTGGGTCGATTTCTAGGGAAAGATCTGGCGAATGAAAATCGAGATCAGTCTTTCATAGAACAAAGTATATTGTGTTCGTGTCTCGCTATTAACAGTAAACCAATATAAAAAAATTCAGAAACATTGTATTGTATCGAGTTATCCAGTAGGAATTTTTCACTGAAGAATAAAAAGTCGTTTCTGATGATTGCACAACATAGCAAAACGTTCTTTAAGCGTTTGTCGGAGTTCTTGCCGGCGTTTTTTCACAAATTCTTCACGCATTCGCGATTTGAATTCTAACACTTCCTCGATAGGGATGTAACTCTTTTTGTCATCATCGTCGTCGCCGTCGTCGTCGTCGTAATTAGAGGAATAGGAATCCTGGAAACAAAATAATTGATTAATAATTACCGCATCGAATTCAAGCGAGTCTTCCTGCGGGGCAAACGGAAACTAAAATATTTCTGCATTTTATACACATTTTATTTAATTTACCTTTAACATTTGCGTAAGTGTCGGATAACCACTTCCCTCCATTAACAAATAGATGCTAGAACTGGAATGATTAAGTTTAACGTGACAAGAACCTTCGTGATCGCAACATTCGTTGCACGCCACTTCGGAACCCTCCGGTGTGCTGGGAAGAGAAGAGCTACTGATGTTGTGTTCGGAAGAATATCCGTAATCCTGGGACGACTGCTCACTGGAGAAGTGTTTCTTTATCCCCATCCTCGTCAAAAACCACAAGTCAGCATATTTGGACTTTGTTATCCAATCTAACTTCTGTCTCACGGAATCTTTGCAGTTATTCTCGTAATGCCATTCACTGTCACTAATCTTTTTACCTTCCTTGAAACAATAAAATAAAAATGTTTTATTTTTTCTTTTTTTTTTTTAAGGGTACATTTACGAGATGGACAAATGGTGCTGTTACCTTACACGAATCGCAAGTATCCGACGAATCCTCCTGAGGTAATTGTTTCGGAGATATACTACTTTGTTTCGATTGACTTATGCTAAATGTCACTTTCGCTTCTACAGCACTGTTTTTAACTGTTGCCTTCTGTACACTTGTCGTCTTTTTCACAGGGAATGTTAGTTCTGCTTTACTCTGCGATTGGGATATACTACATGTTTTTGGTTTCTTTAAACAGTCTGAACATTTACACGTTGGTGGACCTTTATTTTTTGGATCTAGGACCTGCAACTGAGATCAAAAAAATGCTATACAAAAATGCACATGTGCGTAAGACACAAGAAGCTAGATAAGTCTCATGTATACCTTATGCCGATTGATGTTTTGCTTTGTTGGCTTTGATTCCGTACATATACAGAGAGATTTGCTTTTTTTTTCACTTGAACACTATGACAAAATACAACTTTGATAAATGTGTAGATAAATATATTAATGTTATTTCTTATATGAGCTACAAGTATATAAATACATTTTTTTAAAAGAAATATATACAACATACGTCACAGGAATTTTCCTTCTCTTCTGTTTCGTAACGACGTTCCTTCTTTTTTTTCCGTTTTAGCCGTAACTTTTCGCGCCTCTGTTGCTTCACTATTTCTTCCCTAGTAAGTTCTTTGTACAATAGTTCTAATTGAGAAATACCTTGTTTCACCTCAACTGCCATCTATACAAGAAAAAATACTTGATTTTGCTGTAGCATGATAAAGTGTATAAACGTAGATTTTTTTTAATCCTTTGTAGTTTCTCAAGCCGGGATATTCGGGGCAATCACTCACCGCTCACTTGCCGCGCAAAACTAATAAGATCAACGAAAGGTATGCCGTCAAAATCGATTCAAGATTGCAAAACTAAGAACAAAAGGTTAAAATAAAAACGAAATACTTAATATTAGCTTATTCGTTGAAATTAATTCGGACCGCAAAGGATTAATACACTGCTGTTGGTAAAAATCAGAACAAAAAAAATATTACAAGAGAAAAAAGGCAATAAGAACCGGAAATCGAATCGAAACGTATGTTGTTATTTTTCTTCGTATTTTCTTGTTAATAAATTAGATATTTTTGCACACCCACATCCGCGCGTTGGTTCTTATTGCCTGCTTTTCTCTTTTCGTATTTTGTATTGTTACAAAACCATTCGTTATTGTAAAAATCAGAACGCATACATAAAAATAGCTTGGTGTTCTGATTTTTATGACCAGTATTGTAACAATATTTTGTCATAAAAATCTTATTACCTGAAAGTTTCTAGATAATGCGTCTATCGCGACAGCAGCTAATACTTTACACACGGTCTCCTCTTCCTTCAGTCGTCGATAAACTCTGTGCAATTTTTCCGCAACACATATACCTAAACAGGTAAGCACCTCCTCTTGAGCGACCTCCAACGTTTTCGCATGGCGCTCCCTGAAATTAAATGTTTTTCACTATTTCTTAGAGAAGACTACATAAAAGGATTTACTTCTGGGCATTAGTACCTTCCCATGACCTCTGGCTGCGCACGGCCAATAAGGGTGCCGATATACTCAGTGATGGCTGGTAAGTGAACATGATGCTCGTTGATACAACGCTTAATTCCGGAATATAAAACTGGTACGTAACCTTTTTCTTTTGTAGGTTCTGGTTCTCGTGTCAGAAGCGATGATGCCAACAATACTTTATTGCGGCACTCACCACAAAATCTGGTAAAATGGTTTTACCGTGTTATAAAACTATTAAAATAATTCTACATCAAGATAATGAAGTTGTACCTGTGTTTACGTAGGTAAGTATCTAAAGTATCATCAAGTGTATCTGTCTCTATTAAAGCCAACTCCTGTTGACACGGTAGCGCCATGCAGTCCCATACTTCCTTCCACGCGTTTGGTGGTGGTCGCATTCGTTGGATTTCCAGAGAATGCAATACACATCGCCGAGACTTTCTATTTCTTGGCTGATTTTCTACTAAATTATTTAATCTAGCACTGTAAGGAAGCAAATAATAATAATTATTTTGCATATACATCTCTAATATTATTGTCTATTATTTCCATACCTATGTCCATGCAATATTGTACAAAGTAGCTGAGGTGATTTTAATACTTCCTCCTTTATAGAAACCACACCATCAGTAGAAATAACCAGTGGATCCAATGCAGATTGTCCCGATTTACTCAAGTCACTAAACCTTTTTTCAACACTAAACCCACAAAACCCTTTTCTGTCATTTACCGATATTCATCATTAAGCATTATTCTAGGAAAAAGAAGCACTTACCTTCTTCGACAACCGATACATGGTTCTGCCTGGACCAAGATGGCAAGCATACTTTTCCAAGGAACTTTAAACGACGCCTGAAGCTCTTCTTTCGTCAGCAATACGTATTTTTTCTTAAATTCTTCCCATTCTTTACCACGAGTTAAAGGACCATCACTGATTACTCGTAAACCTTTTATATCCAAAACCATCTAAGAAGAAACAAATAACACTTTAAAGTTATACAATGACTGATACTTCGATATTCAATTTCTTGTCCCATATATAACCAAGGCTTTTAATGATAATAAAATCGACAAACAGTGTAATGTATTGCTAAATAAAACTTCCAATCTCTTATAGGTTAAGAGTTGATGACAATACAAACGTTGAAATGAAGAAAGTACAACTATCTATAAAGAAAACATGATATATATTCGAGCACAAGCAAAAATCATGTCATCTTATCACAGTGGGCGACGACGTTGCTGAACGTTGCTTTGGGTTGGGACAATCGGCGATCGATTCATTGAAACAATTCACGTTCTCCCGATCAACCGTAAAGACTAGTATCTCCGTCTTTTCATTTTTATTCCCTATAACGTCTAATATTCTTTATTTGTTAGGTTAAACATGCCGGGCGTCATTACATAAGACAATATCGGACCCCAAGAATCGCCGGTTGGGACTTACCGGAAGGATAATGTAAAGCGCTAACGCTCACCGTCAATTCGTCGTCGACATATAATAGCATTTGGTTGCTCGACAGCTCCACTGGGTCATCGTCCCGCTGAACGTCCAACAATTTCGCCATCGTTTCTCGCCTCGGTATGATCCGGGTTCTATGATCTTTTTCTGTTTCAGACGCCGGCTGCTTCTATGCTCACTTTGATTGCTCTTCCTTTTTCAGAGTCTGATGAATGTTTTTACACGAATACTGTGACACATTGAGGCTCTCCAGAGCACGGATTCTTCGTAGGAAATTTAACACAACTCAAACAAAGTTTAGAGCTAGAATACATTTACCTTTACTTACTGCTGTGTGTACCGCTCTCTACTTCCGTCTCGTATGTTAACATTTTTTATAACAACGTGTTATCCTCGTTTTGTATTCTTGCTTTTAAAATCTCTGATCCTTTGCAATTGTGTTTCCCAAAATTCCTAGAATTTTAAGGAGAAAGGATATTTTCAGAAATTAATCTCTGCAGGAATACTTTTTTAGTTTAAGGCACTGAAAAGGGAATTTATTGTGATATTTCATATTGGTCCACAAATTAGCTTGATAAAAGCATTAAACATTAATTTTAAATGGTATAAAACAATAAATTACATTAGCTTCTGCATATCTCGAAAAGTTATACACACAAATAAGTAAAAAAGAAGTAATTTTAAATCTTTGAGACTTCTGGCGGCAAGTATGAATTTGTTTAAAGTATTACATATACGAAAACAAAAAATTTATACTATTATAAAAAGATTTTATAATTTTATATACATTATAGCCATACATTATATAGCCACTCGCGCCCTGATATTTTTTCTCTATTCCCTTCTTTCTAATAATTCCTATCAGTACATACTGATTCTCCATATGTGAGAACAATGTACTAAAATTTTCGTACACTTTAAGTATCTCGAACCAGAGATCGGTGTACAAATTTAACTGTCTCACGTAGACTAACAAATTAATTTCTTTAAGAAAAATTATAATTTCGCACTAACATTCCGCGACGGCTCTCTATGCCTTTCTATTATATTAATTGATTGTTATCATTTGAGCCATTCCTTTATATGTGTTAAATTGTTTTATATACATTATTGTTTAAATATTATGGATTATTGTGAGATAATAATGAATTGATTATCAATTAAAAATTACTTCAGTTTTTACAGCAGAATATTTTTGCGATCCTTTTCTTATTGGCTGTGTTCTAAAATTCATTAACAATGAATATTGAAACGCAGTCGTAATTGTCATTGCACTTTTTTTCTGCACTCATATAACTTGGTAATCGCACATGATAAGCGCGATATATGAGAGCGCTGTAAAAGAAGTACGCAAGATTAGACGAATATGACCGCAAAAATACAAATACTCTACTGTACCGACCTGTAAATATTTTTTGTAATAATTACTTTTTCACTTAATTAAATTTAATTCTACAGCTAATATATACACAAAAGTTTGATACAAATAATAAACAATCTAAAAAATAGATGAAAATTCTGTTCATTTTGTAACTTGTTACCGTTTAGAAGCTCTCAAAATTTTTATCTATAATCAATAAATTTAATATTAAATAATTTTAATATTAAATATATTTTTCGATAAATTTACATATACTGTGTACGACCAAACCATAAGATTCCTATATTTTAATTATTATAAAAAATAAATCTTAATAAATTTTTTCACTGACTGAATTTCATCTGCATTTCGCGAAGACTAGATTGTCTTAGATAATCACTTAAGCGGTCGCTGGAGCGCAGTCTCTGTCCTTGCTCCACCAGTGTTCAAGCTTTGTGTAAACTTTCGGTGCAGCGGAATTATAATGTAGCGCCTCGCAGATGCGACAGTAGTGCTTGGACATGCTGCCGAAGTAGCCGTGCTCGTTAATCACCCGGTAGCGAACGCGCCACTCGTGATACTTGAGGTAATGCTCATCGTCGCGGTCCAGATACCTGAGATAGTCGGCGAGCGCGTTTGCGCCAGCGAAATCGTCCGTATGAAGAAAGGAGTGCGGCGGCAACAATCGCCGGCAGTCTTCCCGCGACGCTCCCATTATTATCGGGACTGCGAATTTGTTGTACGCTTGCCAGAACACCTTCTCCGTCAAGTATTCCCGGCAATTGGAGTTCTCAAACGACAGATAGAACTTGTACGCGTTCAGGGCGGCGCAGTCACGGTCGAAGTGACCTGGACAGACGGTGCTGTTGCCATTCAGGCATCTTCCGAGGACGTCGAGGTCGTCGCGGAGCGACGATTTCAGCGCCTTCACGTAAGACCATCGTCCGTTACGACCACCGCAATTGCTGCCCATTACGGCGACCAGTTTGGTCTTCGAAGTCCCCACGACGGCGTCTCGACTCGAGACATCGCTGGAAATTCGCACCGTTCGTCCGTAAGGAACCGGTACGTCGCTGTCCATGCGATAGGACATCGACCAGTTGAACAGACCGTCGTAATCAGACAATTTCTGACGGTTGTGCAAAAATGTATGGAATGGCGATTCATCCGTCAGGAAGATCCACCATTGATCCACACGGCTTCTCACCGGTAGTTCCGACGGGCTCTTCGTACGATGCAAGTGGAACACCACGGCGTCTGCTTGATGCAGATCCTTCTCGTCATAACTCAGTATGCAATCCCGCACTGAACACTGGTCCCACGGCGAAAACCTAAAATATATTATGTTATAAATTTTCGTCGAAGTTTTTACTGCGAAAATAAGACATATTTTGGATCAGCATTGATACAAGTTTCAGATATAAACTACAGAACATTAAAGTTGATAAAGCACACTTGTTGAATGTGAAGCGTCTGATGTGTCTGCGCTCCAGAAATGAACCATGCTTCCAGATCAGGATTAAATAGCTTCCGTTAGTGGCATTGGAGTCTGGCGGTGGACTTCCTTCAGGCGCTAGAAGCCATTTCCCGAGTGCAGATATATTCTTTACCTAATAGCAAGTTTTCATTAGAAACAAGTCACAATACTCATCTAAAACTTTCAAAGTGTCGTTGTTGCAACAATTTTTTTCTTATTAGAATCTGACATAAAATAAAATAACATTTAATAGCAAAATTTAAAACTATGAAGCGCGTTTTTAAAGTAAAGTCCGATCAACAATTTAAAAAAAATTTAATTATTAAAATAAAGACGAAAATAATTTATTTATGACTTATTTATCAATAATAACTCAGTTTGCAAAAACAATATAAGAGAAGAGTGAGGTGCATTTTACCTGTTCATTGGTGAAGCCTCTTTCCAGAAGATGCGCGTCCAAAGTTGTCATTTTCATCAACTGTTCGTTAAGTATCTTTGAACGAAAGAAAAACTTCCACCATTCAGGATTACCAAGTTTTTCTTTTTCTTCTTTTGTTATGGATGTCTGTCCATTTTTAAAAACGGGAGATCTTCTGTCAGAAGTAAAAAAGATTGGAGCCAGTAACAACTTACAGAAAATTGTAATTGTCACAGTGATGAGCAGAACGAATGCAAGACGCCGGAATTGTGAAAACTTGAGCATAATGCACGCTGGCTGGCGTTCATTCTATACTGAATGTACGTTGCATGACTACTAACTGGAGTAGACCAAACCTTCAGGTTTTATCTCCACAGTCCATAATATCTTTCAGCCTTTCTGTCATAAGTTTGTGGTAAGTTGCACTAAACAGAAAACTTGACGATAGAAATTGTGATCCAAAGGTGTTTCTTTCACGTTAAACATAAAATACTATACTAATAAACATAAAAGAATATGTAAATAGAACCACTTTTTGATCTTTTAATTACAAAAAAATTTTGTTTTGTTTTGTTTTTATATCCGATTTTGTGATAATAATTCCACAAAAAAATTAAATTTAATCAAATGTGTTTTCTATAATTTTATCTCAATTGCTGCAATTTCTAGAGTGTTAAACTGCTAATCAAAAGTAGAACTATTAACATCTCTTACTGAATTAATATTTTATTTTCGTAATTACGAAATAATTTTTTCTTTGCAATATGAACCATATATTACTTAATTTTTTTGTTGATTTTCAATTAATCCATGAAATAAACTTTACACTAAATATCGAACGAAGCTAGATAGTGGACAAAAATAAAATTGCATCGTTAAGTGTTAAAAAGTAAATGAAATTACAAAAGGTGATTCACGTTGATATACGTTCTGCCTATCACATTTCCATTCGCAAATAAAGGTACGGCAGATGCCGATAACTACTTATCAGATATCGAATTTCGCAAGGAGAAAAGGAAAATGAATCCGCGCGGATGATCGAAAGTAGAAGGAAAACAGCGGGTGCACTCTCGGTACAGCAAAGATACACATCGTCGCGCGACTGACCGTTGATCCCGATTGTCTTGGTTAGCCAAGCGTGACTAGCGTCCTCCGCTCTAGACGTCACTCACTGTCACCGGCACTATATCAGCTGGTAGACACCTTTCAAATGTAAATGTAAACTTCACACGCGCGATTGCTTATCAATTGCATTTATCAATCAAAGCACTTCTCGTTCAGCTGAACTGGGCACAAAAAGGGACGAAAGTCCGAGATTAACATGGCTCATAAAGACTGTACCTTCTCTGGCATTAATTTTGTAGATATGTTCACGTTGTCACTTTACAGATAGAGCAAGTGGACAGATTGCAGTAGCCAAAATCCTACACTGATTTCTATAGAAAGTCCTAAATATAAAAATTTTTCAGGCGACAAAACTCGATTATGGCTTATTTATTAAAATTAATTCATCGATTAAAAGTTTACAAAAATTAAATAGCAATATAAGAAAAGAATATAATACAAAATACTTTACAAAATACCTGTTGATTAGAGAAGTTTCTTTCCAGAAGATGCACATGAAAAATTATTTTCGCCAACTATTTATAAAGCAGGAATCCATTCTAGTCGGTGTAGAAACACCAGAACTAATCTTGCAGATTTCACTTTTTCCGCTTATTATACTTTTTTTAAACTTCACGTTACGGTAAAACTTTTTGCACAGATGTCGACGCACTTCCAATAAAAACTATAAATGACGCTAAATTTATATTTAGAAAAGGCATGCGACTTTGAGTTTCTGAAAGTTTCACAAACCTTTCAATTTATTGAAATAATGATTAATCTTTTTTCCGACAAGATTTGATTAACAAGATATCATTTCTCGTGATCTCTTTCCCTACTCGATTCTTTCTCCTAACGAATTTTTATTTGCGTAATACTTCATTGATTTAATCGAATGTGTTACGATATTGCAATTTTATTTTTACGCGTACATACAATAGCGCGTGATATCATTACATAATTTGATTTATCAAGCTATGAAACAACGCATGTTATGTTCGCGCCTCGTTCGCTATTCGTCCGAAGTGTGTCTGAACAACAACCATTTGCTTGCCTAGCAAATCGACATTTGCGGACCAGCCCCCACCGCCCCGGCCCGAAGAGCCCCCCAAAAAATTATTTAACATTTAAAGTAACCCGGGGCGGCGTGTAACGCATAAAATCGTGAAAGACTAGGTACTAATTCTACTATCAAAGAACATAAACGGAATGAGAAGTATCAACAAGCTACGTTTCATTTTCTGGCTGATTAAGGCTACGTTCGGTTTTGGTTGTGCGTTGATGGATATTTTGATTTCGATCGTGTCATCCGGACAATCTATAGTGACACTAAAATCTAATTGTCTTCGCGTTTCGATCTCCTTGTCCCACGATCAATCTTTTTAATTTCAATTTAGGAATCTCAGGAATTTTTTGGCGCACGCACTTCTAAGTATTATATAATTACAAAATATGTACTCATATCAGTTGCTACATTATACGACAAATGCAAATTTATAAATGTATGTAGGTTCATATATCGCGATTTGTATATAATTTTCAAAGCTAAGCAGTTTTATTTTTCCTAGTGAATATCTTTGCCATTCTAAGGTTACGTTCGAAAACGTTACTCTTGAATCACACTGACTCCCCTTGCTTTTTCGGCGAGTGGTTTCGTGGCACACTGGTGGTACTCATTCAACGTTTTCGAACGATTCACCCGAATGCACATTAAGTACCACTAACGTGTTTCCGAACGGTTATTGTGTGTTGGTATGCACACAGTGTGTTTCCGAACGCAACCTAAGATTGGTTTTATTTGGAGCGATAATTTTAAAAGCTACAAATGGGAAAGACAGAAATTTCGAAAGCGAATTTAATTATTAGTCGTCAGATTCAACATAATCGGGATTCGTTAAAATACGCGAACATGTTAACAAGTGTTAAAAATGGTCCCCTTGTAACGTTTACAGACTTTTTCCTTAAATCCGCCATTGTTCCCATGCTTTCGGTCACAACGCTTATAAAACTTTAACGCAGCCATCAATTTACTGGCAATTCACCTGATATCCATTTTGTAACTTCCCACTTTGTAACTTTTTCTCTTAAGGTGGAATTCCAAACCAAATTCCTTGTTACACCCCCAATCGCAGTGTTGCCGCATGAGACATGAGCAACAACCTGTAAAATCAACATGTCGTGACGTGCTAAAACTTACTAACTGCAATAAGCCATCTTAAATCAGAAAACATGAGATTGGGGGCGCTATTTCTCATGGTTTATGATTTTTCATTAAATTGTAAATCAAAAGGTTCTAATCACGATGCCGTTGAATCGTCTGATCTGTAAAATGGAGATATGACGACTCGGTCCAATATTTATCAGCATTCATAGGATTCGTAATTACTAGCAGTAGCTAGTTGAACTCTCGCAATGTTTCTAGTTTATCAAATAACTTTCTAATGCAGAAAGAATGCGAGAAGATTTATAAATCATCTCACAGGTATACACAAAATGGAATCAAACTGAGTGCAAACTTAGCAACCGGTTTGCTTGCGCATGTGCGGCGATACGGCGTCAGTAGTGTCGTGTGCAGGACTTTACGCGGGACTTTTGACAGGAAGAGGTTAGGAAGATATAAATAAGGTAAGGCTTTTTTATTTATTATAATATTTATAAAATAATTAAATTATATATATATATATATAATATATTTTTGTACATATATATATGTACATATATATTTTTTAATACATTAAAAAATTTTTATTACTTTAAATGTAACTGGGTAACGGGGTGTCTTTTTTATTTGTCGAGACACTTTACTGAAAATTGTATCGCTGCACATGCGCAAACAAACCGGTCCCTAATCGGAACACTGACATTGAGTGCAAACTGTGTCAAATCTGTGTCCATAGCTAGAACTGCCGGCACAATATTCTGCCGGTGACAGAACATGTTATCCGTTGGGAAGAGTGGATAAGTAGCCACGTATACGGAGGTAACATTGCCTATGCTTCGCTATGCTTTTACGTGTCCCTTGAATGTCTCTGTTCGCCTAGAAAATCCGCAAGAAGCGCTAGTTCTGATCCGATTGCGTTCACGCGACTATTTAATTTCTAACTTATATATAATAATGTATTGTATTCAAAATATTTTACTTTTTTTTTTTTATTTTTCAAAATATTTAACTTTTTTATTTTTCTTCGGAAATATAAATAACGATGTGGATCGATTTATGCGCCACCAAGCAGATTTAATGTTCCTAATGAGACCTGGTCGGGTCACGTAGCACTGCTCGATTTTCAACGTTTACCGTTGATAAAGTAGAAACTTGAAATTTATATCGAGAGAAATTGTTAAATCGGAGAATAGTATATATAAATATATATCAGAGAGGGAATCTATATATATATATATATATATAAACGTTTCTAAACAATCATAAACAATATAATTATGTTCTCTAAATATCTCCGTTTATCGCTGTTATTAGGAATTATATATTTTCTATATTCGCGTGACTTTGTTAAGGAAATCAAAACACATTTAATGGATGGAACGTTGAATATAGTTGACATGATATATTTTGGATTAAATGGAAACGCTGACAAGCAAAGAATGTTCACTACAAGTGAATTGAGGCGATACACAAATCTGGAAAACGGTTTGTATCTCTCGATTTTAGGCCAAGTTTTTGATGTGACGAAAGGTGACAAGCATTATGGACCTGGAGAAAACTATCATGCCTTTACAGGTAATTATAAGTAAATTCTTGTGTCGAAAGACATAATATGTCATCCACTATATGGAATTGTATATTTGCAGGTCGTGATGCTTCCTTGGCATTTATTACTGGAGAATTTGAAGGTGAAGGTTTAACGGATGACATATCCAGTTTATCGGCGAGACAAGTTAAGGCTCTGGATGATTGGTTGCAGTTTTATAACACAAATTACATCTACAAAGGTATAATTATTTAAAACGGAATGTAAGAGCTAGTTGATTCACTTCACAATTTTTTCTTAAAAGACAAAAGAATTTCTTGACATTTTATCGACTTGCCCAGCAAGAATAAGAAAAGGTACATCCTATTCTAATTTATTATAAAAAGCATGCTTGATGCGTAGATGTCATGAGGTGGATCAACTCAACATGTGATATTTTCCCTAAAATTTTGTATGTATTTTTTTCAGGAAAATTGTATGGCAGATACTATAATCGAAATGGTGGTCCAACTGCAGAATTTCATAAGGTTCAAGAGAAACTACTTCTTGCTAAAAAGGAAACGTCACTAGAGGAGAAACAGAAAAGAATGTTTCCACCTTGTAATGTAGAATGGAATCCAGATAGTGGCACTACATTCTGGTGTTCTAAAAGAAGGTAGGAATTTAATAACAATTTGAAATATTAAAGAAAACATGTGACTACATGATTCATTTTCCGTTTCACAGTGGTGGAATTGATAGAGATTGGGTAGGAGTACCAAGAATGCTATTTGAGAATTTGGACGCACAAAGTACATTTAGATGCGCTTGTGTTAAACTGGATAGTAAAGAATATGAAGAGAATAAAGCTATGTTGAGAGAATATGATGGTTGTGCAAAAGATGCGACAAAATGCATTCGAAAGATGACTGAGACATGATGTGAAAAAGTATTAATTAAATTGATTAAGTATTAGTAAATTAAGCATCTTTATCTGTAGGATTAGATATATTTGTACTTATTTTTATACACATACACAATCATGTAGATTAAAAATATTAATTTTTCATGCATTTTTTCAGGTTTCTTATATTTTTATATTTACTAAAATGTCTTCATAAAATTGCAAAAAAAAAAATAAATAAAAGTTTGTATAATTGCTTGATTTATGAAATAAACAAAATTCACCAATTTAATTGCATTGTAATACATTCTAAAGTAATGATAATTCGATAATTATGGGCTTCCTTTTACTGCTCTTATATATTCAAATTATCAATCTTTTTGCTTATTCTCTGTTTTTAATATAATTACATAACTAAATATTATAAAAAATGTTTATTTGTATTATTATATAATAATATGTATAAATACAGAATTTATAAACTAATCTACAAATGCATTATGTGGTACGAACATCTCATTTAAACGAATAAAAAAGCACATTGTTGTTTCATACAAAAAAAAAACACATACACATTAAAACAAGATAAATCTCAAATACACAGAAGATTATATAAAATAATATTTACACATAAAAAAATGCTTTTGGACGCATCACAACTTTCATGAAAATATAAAAAAAAACTTATTACATTATTAATAGTCTATCTACCCTGTACGTTAGCACACATGTAAATCTGTGCAAAAATCGAATTGAGTATTCGCAGAGAACCATATAATCGTATAACTTATATAATATTTTTAATAAAGAAATTTTTATTTATCAAATATTACAATTGAAATACTTTGTATTAACCTCTTAACATAGTTTTTAGCAGCTGATCATATAGTAAACAAAGCTAAACATTCCTGATGAACCTTTTATCACCTACATTCATCAAATATATATACGAAAATAACTTTAGTATAAATTATTTTTCATGCCCAAGTTAACTCAGGCTAACACAATTCTGCTAGTACCACTTGCCAGAGTTAACTCAAGCTTGCAGGTTAAGGGGTTAATACAATCTCTTTTATCTCAGTATTTATGCCAGAAGTACAGAAACTAACAATTTATAAAATCCTAAAAAAAATAGCACAATACATTATTCAGAAACCTTGAAAAAAATAGCAGTTAACATGTAAACATGTCATATAGAACAGCTTGGTATCATTTAAGTTCACTATCAATTTTCATCGGTGAATTTTCTCTGATAGTGTCTAATTTATCTATAACAATCTGCTTTGAACCACACATTTTTAACTTAATCTTAGATCCAAAGGCCTTTTGTATTTTTGCACGTCTCCTTTTCAGTTTGGAATTTGTAGGTGAAAACAGTAACATTCTTTTGAATCTTTTGGCACTCATGCGTATTGCAGCATCGTCATTCGCATTATCACCTTCTTCATATATCGTTTCAAGATTATTCGATCTCTTCTTTATTTTTTTGTCTAAATAATACTCTTCGATATTTTCTTCGCTAAGATAAAGATGCTGTATCTTCTTTTTTGGTCTCAAGGTACATCTTATGAAAAATGGATAAAATACCATTAAAAATATGTGAAAGATGAACATATTACAGCTTGATATTAAATAATCTTACCTTCTCTTATAATTTTCTGGAGAAACAGATTTTGGTAATCTTTTCCTAAGAACTCTTTTAGTTTCTGTAGACGGTGGATTAGCATTTATAGTAAGCATTTCTAAATCAGCTGTGACCGAAGGCAAGCTGATATTATCTAAACAGCCCACAGAAATTCTAAAAAATTAGAATAGCTTCTAGATTTCCACTTTTTCTTAAAGAATAACTTTTATTCTTTTTAAAAAACTTAACTTAATATTTTGATGCTAACGTATAAAATAAAATATTTGTATATTCTTATCGTTAAATAAGAAATTGATAAAGCAAAAAACAATAGAATTGTAAGGTAATTTTTTCTCTATGACTTACGCATTTTCTGCTTGTTTCTCGTCCATTTGGAATATTGCAGAAATCTTATAAAATACTTTTAAAGGAATATTTACTTTTTCCGATGAGACTGCTTTATATTGAATTTTCTTATTAAAAACGTACAACGTCGTTCATTTTCTAACGAAAACACAATGCTGGATAAAATAACCAAACATTTGATATGTAAAATATCTAAAACAAATTATAATATTATGTTGTCTGATATTCTAACATTCTATTAAAACTCAATGTGAAAAAAGAAAATATTGTTTTATCGCAAAGAAGTAACGCCGTATTTCTTTTCTTTTTACACTAGCGTAGGAACATAGAACTCCACACTGCTGAGCTTTTCATATATAGATAAACATGCATAGAGACCTCTTTGGATCATAATAAGCAGACGTTTCAATGACTGCGTTCAGCAGACTCAACAGTTGTAGACTTTCCGTTGAATCTCGACTGTTGATTTGTTGGTTCTAAAAGTAAGAGCCAATCATGTTCGATTGCTACCAAGCGATTTGTTCTGCTGAACGCGCCCAATAATAACAGAATAGTGAAATGAGCATAAGCGACAAATGGTATTGTAAACGCGCCATTAAGTTTGTACCTCCTGAAGTCAATAGGTCTGTTCTTTATAGCTGAACTGGCTGCACAGTTCAGAGTTTATCTTTCTTCTTCTAATGTGGAGGGAAAAAGATGAACTCTGAACTAGTGCAGCCAGTTTTCCACCGAAGTCTTCAATCCGATTCTACTTTGGTGTAGGAAATTTAGTGTGCTGTTTCCATTGGAAGTAAAGTTTTTGTGGATCGAAGCGGGAGTGAAATAAGCGTAATTGATCCCGTTTCCATCGACTTAAATTCGGTTTTACGCCGGACTAGATGCTTCGGTGGAAACTAGCCCACTGTGATTGGTCGATTTGCTTACACCTTAAGCCACACGTACGCAATCGAGAATGTTTAGCGGATGTGTGTGTATGTACGGTTACATCTGAAAATCAGTGTTGCGATATGGGACCGGTTGTATGCGCATGTGCGGCTCTGCGCATGTGCGGTGATGGAGATCCAGTGCCGTTATATGTTATGTGTTGACTGTATGGCGGGACGTTTTGACATGAGAAGGTCTGGTGACTACAAATAAGGTAAGATTTATTTATTTACAAGCATGGAATCTACGGAGCCAGCAGCTAAAAAACCAAGAAGTAAAAAATTTCAATCAATTTAAAAAAATTTGAGAAATATTTTTAATGTAGCGGAGTAACGGTGCCTTGTTAATTTGTATGAGACACTGTACTGACGCCGTATTGCCGCACATGCGCATACAACCGGTCCCATATCGCAACACTGCTGAAAATACCAAAGCATCCAGTTGCATTTAGTACACATTGAGAAGGTACTGGTTGATACTGATAGATGTGTTGTAGATGCATCATGCGTGGTTAATATTATTAGCTTTTGTTAATCAGGATTTTAGTTGATTAGTTTTTCTTTATTTTGCTGTGATAATAGAAAAATGAAGAAAGAAAAAACAGGAGATAATAGTCGTCCATATAAATTATAAGTATCTCAAAATTTTGGTATTAATGATAAAGCATTGAATGCCAAAAATCACTTTGGTTATGTTTTATTATATTTCATAAATGTTCAAATAAATTTCTGATAATATTCACTGAAATTATGTTTAGTTTTTTTTTTATTTTTTGTAAACAAAAAGTAATACATAATTCTCAAAACATTTTTAAAAACAAATAACTGCATTCTTAGATAAATTATATATTATACATTAAATTTACAAGTGAATATAACAAGATTTGTCATAATTTCTGGTGAAATAATTAGTGATTGATATTTTACAGCTCACCAAATATTAAGCTTAACAGGAATAAGCTTTCAAAGGAAAAGCATAATTGGTTTTGTTGAATTAACAATTATTCCACTTCGAGACACAGTAAGGTTGATAAAACTCAATGCCAAACAATGCAGAATATATAGAGTGTGCTTAAATGATTCTTATGAAGCGCCTTTTCAATATTTTGATCCATTCTTGGATATCTGCCAGGGGGATAGTAAACAGTATGTAATTTTTTTTTTCATAACTTAATATTGTGATATTAGAGAATATTAATTGAATTATTCTACAGGCGTTCCTTGGAGTTTTTCTCGAATATGCATTTAGCAGCGGCTCAAAAAGTTGATCCTGATAACAATGCTGGTGAATTAGTGGTTCAAATACCACCAGAAGTAGCTCATTTGGTCGCAGAAGGTAGAAAATTAAGGATTAGCATTGAATTTTCTTTGGAACAACCACAAGGAGGTGTACATTTTGTTGTACCTAACTGCGAAGGAACTTTGGCTGAGGTAAATTATATTTTTTTTATTATATTATTTATTATATTATTAGCTTTATTATATTATTAGTTTATTATATTATTATCAAGAAGCCATTATATTAGACATTCTTGCCATTTTAATAGAACTTAAAGAACCGACCGCAATTATTGGTGGCGCAGTTATTGGTCTTATGTGGACCAATAATTTTATTATGAAAATTTAAGATATTTTACTTTTTGCACCAACAACTATGGTTGGTTTTTTAAGCTATATTCCTTTATATTTGACTGATTATTTTATAAAATCTATACTTATTTTAATATTAATAGAAATTTCTTTTTTTAGAGAGGTGCACACATGTATACATACAGCTACGAAAATTCGTCCAGATTATGGTTTCCATGTGTTGATAGTTTTGCTGAACCATGCACTTGGAAGTTGGAATTTACTGTCGATGATTCAATGACTGCGATTTCCTGTGGAGATCTAATCGAAGTTGTCTATACACCTGATATGCGTAGAAAGACATTTCATTATGTACTCAATACACCCGCATGTGCTCCAAATATTGCACTGGCAGTTGGGTAAGTAAATTAAATAGATGTAATTAATAGATACTAGCGATTTGTAGTATAATAATATGAATTTATTCTATTTAAGGCCTTTTGAGATCTTTGTGGATCCTTATATGCACGAAGTAACTCATTTCTGCCTGCCTCAACTTTTACCATCTCTAAAAGTGTCCGCGAAATACTTGCACGAGGCATTCGAATTTTATGAAGAGACTTTATCAAATCGCTATCCATACTCTTGCTACAAGCAGGTCTTTGTTGATGAAATAGATGAGGATATAAATGCATATGCTACTATGAGCATTTTAAAGTAAGATTAATCTCTTTTACAAATTTTGCATATTTTAAGTCTTTTATACTGTATTTGCTTATACATTTATTTATTTACAGCACAAATTTGTTGCATTCTACTGCAATTATAGATCAAGTATACATCACTAAATTGGCAATGGCGCAAGCTGTTGCAGAACAATTCTTTGGATGTTTTATATCTATGCAAAATTGGTCCGATACTTGGCTATCTAAAGGTATCTCTACTTATCTAACAGGACTATATGCCAAAAAATGCTTTGGTAACAACGAATACAGAGAGTGGATTCAGTCTGTAAGTATTTATTTATTGAGTAAGTCACAATATTTTTTTCAGCTTATTTATTTGTTTTGATCAACATAATTTTTGCAGGAATTGCAAGAAGTCGTGAAATACGAAGAACAGTTTGGTGGCATAATACTAGATCCGTCTCAAGCACCAGCACCATTGCCTATCGCGGCCAATACTCCAGCGCCTGCTCCTCGAGCTCCCGACCCCGGATTTTATTTTCCTATTAGAAATTTACATACAATGTCTCCAAAATACATTGAAGTTCTCCGCAAAAAAGCACATCTAACCATGAGAATGCTAGAACATAGGATTGGCCAGGAGTTGTTGCTCCAAGTATTCTATTTTTTTCTTTCCAAATTCTCTTAATAATAAATTCACAAATTTAAGTTAAACTAATCAATTTAATTGTTTACAGGTGTTCAATAAACAGTTGTCCCTAGCGGCCAATGCCGCGCAACAAAAGATCGAATCTGGCTTATGGTCGCACATGCTAATTAGTACAAATGTATTTGCTAAAGCAATCTTTACAGTAACAGGAAAAGATATGTCAGTATTCATAGATCAGTGGGTGCGGACAGGCGGTCATGCAAAATTCAGCTTAAGTTTTGTATTTAATAGAAAAAGGTACTTTTTTATTTAAATTTAATTATAATTATTACTTGATATATCATACAAATTACAATATGACATACATGTTATAGAAACACGGTGGAATTAGAGATCAAACAGGACACCACGCATCAAAGAGGGATCAGAAAATATGTAGGTCCATTAGTGGTTAATATTCAAGAACTGGATGGAACTTTTAAGCACACTTTACAAATTGAGGGCACAATGGCTAGAGCAGATATCACATGCCACAGTAAGAGCCGTAGAAACAAGAAGAAAAAGATTCCACTGTGCACCGGCGAGGAAGTTGACATGGATCTCTCCGCCATGGAGTAAAATCACGTACTTTATACCAACGATTGCAAACATTATTTTCAAATGTAAAAAATGTTTCTCTTGTTTATAGTGATTCTCCAGTATTGTGGATTAGGCTTGATCCAGAAATGACAATTATGCGTGCGGTGCAAATTGAGCAACCCGATTATCAGTGGCAATATCAACTGAGACACGAGAGAGACGTCACGGCGCAATTGGAAGCGATCGTGGCTTTGCAGCATCATCCAACGCCTGCCACACGATTGGCGTTGACCGATACTATAGAAAATGAACATTGTTATTACAAAGTTAGACTTCGTGCTGCACATTGTTTGACGAAGGTGAGTTGTCGTCTAATTTAATTATTTATTTTTGTAAATAAATATATGTGCTTGTAGGTAGCTAACGACATGGTAGCAACATGGGTCGGTCCACCGGCTATGTTGGCTATATTTAGGAAATTATTTGGATCTGCGTCGTGCCGGCGAATTATTAAGCAAAACAACTTTTCAAATTTTCAACATTACTTCCTGCAAAAGGTTGAAAGTATATTCTATACTTAGCTTATTAGCTTTTTTTTAATATGTTTCATAGGTGATATTAATTGAACTTGTAGACTATACCAGTTGCTATGGCGGGAATACGCAATGCGCATGGCATTTGTCCACCAGAAGTACTAGCTTTCCTACTGGATCTATTTAAATATAACGATAACAGTAAAAATAGGTACTCCGACAATTATTACAGAGCTGCGCTGATAGAAGCTCTTGGTGCAACTGTAACACCAGTTATTAGCGTACAACAAGGGTGAATTTCAAATTTATTAATATTTTTAATATATATTAATATTTTTAATATATATTAATATTTTTAATATATATTAATATTTTTAATATATATTAATATTTTTAATATTTATTAATACTTTTAGTATTTATTAATATTTTTTAATTTTAGATAATAATATGTATAAATTTTATTATTTGACCTTTTACACACAGAACGGCTATCACAGCTGAGTCTTTGTCAGTCGACACAAAGGCCATTCTGGAGGAAGTTACGAGAAACTTGAACTTGGAAAAATTATTACCCTGCTACAAATATACCGTCAGCGTAACTTGTCTTAAAGTTATACGTATCCTTCAAAAGTTCGGTCACCTTCCAAGCAATCCTCATCTTTTTAGAGCATATGCAACATACGGACAATTTATCGGTAATTGTCTACTGAGATAATTGATTAATTAAACAATGGATTGCTTACTTTAATATTGATATCCTTTGTTGATTGTCAAAATTCTTAATGATCAATTCGCTAATATTTTCCAGATATACGAATTGCAGCGTTGGAAGCGTTAGTTGATTTTACTCGCGTGGACGGTAAGTGGGAAGATTTGGAATTCTTGTTGGACATGGCGGAAACGGATCCACATCCTGGTATACGCCACAGACTTGTACGGTTGATGGTAGAGAATCCACCGTTTGAGAAGGCCCATAAACACCGCTTGGACAAACCAGATCTAGTCGATCGTATATGGAATTTGATCAAGTACGATAATACTTTGATTGTTCTCCTCTAAATCTTTTTTTTCACGTGTCAATGAATTAATGAACACGTAATTTTTTTCTGCAGCGGCATGTTATCGCACGACGCAAAACTGCGTTGCGATTTAGTAGATTTGTACTACACTTTGTACGGTACAAAAGTCCCGTTTTGTCTTCCTAATCCCGAACTTGTAGCGATCACAAAGCCCAAAAAGATTGGTCCACAAAGTCCGGAACATGAAGTAAGTTTATGTAACATGTTATTTTTTTTTTTATTACTATACCTTTGGTTTTAGTATCTTAATAAAATTGCATACATTCTGTTTAGGTCAAAATTGCAGCGATACAACATGTAAGACACGAATCGGTCGAGGAAGTTGAGAACTTGCCCATATCGAACAAAAGGAAAGCGTCTCCAATTAGAGATCCTCCGGGTCCATCAAACTTAGCAGAACATGGACCAGAAGTAAAACGACAAAAGTCAACGAACAATGTAAGTTTGAAAAATTATTTTTGCTTTTCTCGTTGTTGTCAAATAAAAAAAACTTACTTTTGCTATTTGCAGCAGGATGAACGGGGTATTCCAATACCCTGTGAAGGGAAAGTAAAGTCAGAATATTACAGTGATAATTCCGCATCATTGCCTGGTATTATGGGAACTGCGGGTCCTATAGGTTTTGAACCAGGAATGTTTAAAAAGGAGTCAGAAGAGCATAAACTTAAAGCGATTCTACCAATAAGGTATATACGAAGTTTTTCATGCAGTAGAGAGAAATTCTTATGCAATATTATTTTTAACATAAATAAAACATTCTTGAGATTTGTAATGATGATGCTTTTTTTACAGAGTAAAAAGAAAGAAAGATAAGAAAAAACATAAACACAAACACAAGCATAAGCACGATCATAAGCACAATAAGGATAAGGAGAAGAAGGAAAAGGATAAAGGCAAAGATAAGGATAAAGACAAAAATAAAGACAAGGATTCTTCTGCTTTGAAAGTAAAGGATGAGACTCTTAGTTCAGCTAGTTCCAGTCAAAGTCCGGAACCAACTGTAACTAATGAATTTCTTTTTCCTTAAGAAATCAATTATTAATTTATTTAAATTAAAATTTTTTTATTATGATTATTGTATATTTTACTAAATTTTTATACGATTAAAGTGTTACAAACAGAATGTAATAAATAATGCAATTCGTAATACAAGTAAAAGCAATAAGACATATATTATATTTTGAATATTTTATTAAATATAAATATAAAAAAAATATATTTGTATTTACATTTCAAAGATTATTTTATCACAATTTCTGTAATCCGCTCTCATAATTAGAAATAAATATAAGGAGTATAAATTCCAAACAATTTTTTTTAAACGTTTATTTACCTAATCGGGACCAATCGGGACTTTGTTACCAACAGCAGAGGCGCGCTCACATTTGAATGTCCGTTGCACGTTAACTAGGATGGCGTCCGTGGTGTTGCGGCAATTTCGAAGGGAGTAGCGAGTTTTGAAAATTTTGACAACGAGCGAGATAATGGCAGATAATCAGCAGAGCCGCTTCGAGAAATCCCTCGGACTGCTGACCACCCGTTTCGTCGGTTTGCTGCAGAAAGCGAAGAACGGCGTGCTGGATTTGAAAGTCGTGAGTGCTTGTCCTCGCTATAAGGCACCGAAAAAGTTAACCTGAATACTAGGTTAAGTTATCGCGGGCGTACACGCCATATCTGGGTTGCGGGAATTTTGAAAGAAGTGCGCAGCGAGGGGTTTGTTTACAGCTGTCCGATTGATTTTCAACTTCGCTAATATTCCATCCATCTCGTAAAGAACTCGAATAGGTCTTCGGAGTAGTCGAAGCGTTACGGTATCTCAACATCGTAACACGCGATCACACCTAACCTATAAACGGGAATATTGCGATATTTCGACAACTGATAAGGATATTATTGCGTGTTGTCCACCTTGCAGGCTGCGGACATCTTGGAGGTGCGACAAAAACGGCGCATTTACGACATCACAAACGTTCTCGAAGGTATCGGCCTCATAGAGAAGAAAAGTAAGAACAGCATCCAATGGAAGTAAGTTTCACTTTTACTTTTTCTATAAACCACTCAACTTGTGGTTGCATTTGTGCAGTTTAACTTTCATTTACTATAATATGCATTGTTACTATGCAAATTGTGATTGAAGGGGTGCAGGACCTGGTTGCAATACTCAAGAACTTGGAGAAAAGCTGACAGATCTAAAGGAGGAAATTACGCAACTTGAGGATCATGAACTGATGCTTGATACTCACACTCGGTGGATACAGCAAAGCATAAAGAATATAGAAAACGATTTGATAAATAGGAAATATGCATACATCACTTATGAGGATGTGAAGGAGACGTTTTTAGATCAATTTGTATTAGGAATCCAAGCTCCCGGAGATACAGAATTATCAGTACCAAATGTTCTCAAGGTATTTAAATCAATATCTGAAAATTGCTTAACATAGATTGTATCACTATGTATTAATGTCATATCTTTATTGTTTGACATTTTACAGTCCGTTGTACAAGATGAAACCGTAATAAACTACAACATGTATCTGAAGAGCAATTCTGGAGAAATTAAAGTGTATACGGTCCAACCAGAATTAGCCAAAAATTATGATAATAAATTGTTAGAAATGAGATTACAAGAAGAATCAAAGGGCAAAAAACGTGGGAATGAGGACGATGAAAAGAAAGAGGAGGAAGTCATTGTTAAACCAAAGAGGAAAGTTGGCAGGTGAATAGATATTTTTTCCATTTGCCAATGTATCTTTATACATGCTCTAATCGTATCAGGAATAGAAAGATAATATTCTTGATCTACACATAAGAGCAAATAAGAATTGAATGATTTTGTAAAGGGGAGGAATAGTTCTCTAGCTTGAGCTATTCATTTGATGCAAAATGTACACTTGTATGTGATATCCACTTTTCAAGACTACAGTTATATATTTATATATTAAATATATATAATTTATTTTAACACTAGACCACCAAAAAGCGCTTCTAAACCCAATCCAGTATTAACTGATGACGAGGATGAAGAAGATCCAGAGTTAATAGAAGCCAAGATAGTTCTGCGTGATTTAAACACCACAGGTAATTTATTTTATGATTTCTCTAAATTTATTATATGTTGTAAATACATTTAGCATGATTTATATTTCTTTAATCAAATTAAATTTATTACAGAAATTGCTCAAAGAGATTTGGAGTTACTTGATCAGTTCTATTCTGATTGTAAGTCAAATCTTTCACTTTGTTGTTTATTTTATGTAATTTTATAGAACACTAACATTTGTTTAAATTTCTCATTTGCAGTTTGTGGACCATTAGTGAGATTAAGTCCACCACCGAGCGAGAAGGATTACCAGTTTAATCTTAGTGAAAACGAAGGTGTTTGTGATTTATTCGATATCGCGACGTAATGAGAACACTGGGTTAGCGTAGTTTTTGATTTACAAACTGGACTGTGCCAACAGCATGCAAAATTAATCAGGAATTCGGTAGAACTATCAAATTTATGCATACAATTTTAAGAAAATCTATAGATTGCAATCATTGAGAGTATACAGTATTTTTTTATTAAAAATATGAAAAAGCATACTGCAATATTGTAAAGGTATCTGTTTGAAAACGTTCCATTTTGGCTGTTAATTTTGTACAGTGCTGAGAATAATGCAAAATTTTAAAGACTTTTTTTATATACTTGCTAGAAATCACCTTTGTAAATCTGTAATCGGATCATGCAAGCTTGCTTTATGAATATGTACTGTACATGAGTATATAATTGTTTATCGAATTATTTAATAAACTAAGGAAAACGGGCTGTAAGAACATATAATCAAAAAAAAAAAAAAAAAAAAAGAATCATTGTAACATAATGTCATAAAGTAAGCTTTTTTTTCTCAATTGTTGGATTTTTGGTAAGAATTTACATGCACGTATCCTTGAAATATTCCAATGTCTAATATGCAAAGAATGAATGCATATTGTGTATAATCATACAAATTTCTGCATTTTAAGCTATTTTGTTATACATATACCTATACACCTTTACTGACACGCATATATCTACTTATATTTATATATCTTATCGTGCAAGGTCATCAATTGTATTTGTTGAGATAGTTCTCATGTTTAATTATATTATCTGAATATACCATCACAAGAAATTGTGTCGTTTGACGTTTCGCTTTCGTCATACGTATAAATCACATTCTAAAAATCAACTGTGAAATATAAGTAGTCACGCGGTCTGCCATCATCACGGACATTACCGACCTCTTTCGAGCCCTGTGTTAACAGGAAGGTACGTAGACGACCACGTAATTGCGTAATACGACCGATTCAGCGGAAAAGCGCGCTCGCTGCGACAGAGTGATGCGTATCAAGGACAGATAAGAATGGATCGACCGATTTCATCATCGCCGTCGACGACGGGAGCGTGTTCCGTCAACGTGAAGATTCAGTCGTCGGCAATACGGCGGGACACGTGCATCCCAGATGCATCGACTTGTTGCGACACACACAACGCTGCAGCTGTCTGTCAAAGTAGCGTTGCAGCGAGCGCGTTCACCAAGAAGCGTTGCAACTCGGTGCCTCTCGCCCTACGTTTGTTCCCGGTGACGCTGCGAAAGGTACCATGTGCATTTTTGAGAAAACACGTGTGATGTAATGCATTGTGAAATTGCGAAATTTTGTGTGTCATAAAGATTTTTAGAAATGGTTAATGTATCTATTGTATCTGTGTAATATGTAAATTGTATCTATAAAGATAAATTTTTTAAAACGTGATTATTTTTTTAAACTTGAACATTGAAGTTGATAACAATGCAATTTGTTTTCAAATCTATTCGAGGCAATCTCGGAAAAGTGTTTAATATTTTTCTTTTCCATGAAACAACCTTGCAATATTTTGATGAAACATACGAGCACATGCATTTTTAACGCACATTATTCTAATTTTTTCGATTATATAGTTTAACAAATTAAAACGTCTATATTTTTGTGACAGAAACAACGAAAATGCGCATTATATTCGTGAAATTTCGGGAAATCTCTCGTAAATACCCAATCATTCGAGGCATGACTTCCTACTCAATTATATGGCCAAGTGCCTGTTTATTGCAACAAAAGATAATGGGCAAGGAGGAATTTAATTACATGGAAGCCGCACGTTTTAGTATATACGGTGGTCTTTACGTAGCACCCACATTATACTGCTGGCTGAGATGTGCATCTTACTTCTGGCCAAAACCAGACTTGAAGTCTGCAATCACTAAGGTATGTATAAAGAGAACAACTTATACTGTTTGATTTTTGTTGTAATTAATTATTCACATATAAATAAAATTAAATAATTTGAAAACTGCTTAATTATTGACTGAATTTGATAATAATTAATTAAACAACCAGGTAATGATTACAGGCTTTGGTTGAACAAGTCACATACACTCCTGCAGCTATGTGTTCCTTCTTTTTTGGCATGAATCTTCTTGAATTAAAGCCAGTTTCGGAATGCATCGAAGAAGTCAAAATTAAGTTCTGGCCAACATATAAGGTATCATTTTTCAATATAGATAAAATGGAGATAAAATAGAAAAAAGATCTTTTTGCCTGGAGATAGAGAAATTAATGAGATTATTTTTTCTTTAGATTGGTGTTTGTGTGTGGCCAGTCCTGCAAACTATAAATTTTTTCCTAATTCCGGAGCGAAATCGTGTTGTATATGTCAGTGTATGCAGTTTAGTTTGGACATGTTTTCTCGCATACATGAAAACTCTTGAAACTAAACGAAAGCAGAAGGAACTATTAGACGTTAGTGATGTTAATTCCAAGATTATATTAGAAAGTAAAACGCAAACCAATGGAAGAAACATGCAGATTCCTCTACTACGATGAAATATTTTAGGAAAATTGACATTTTATTAGATTAATTTGTATATAAGTAACTTAGGACTTATAATTGGAAGTTACATTTATATCTTATTATATGTAACATGATGGTATCTGTGATATTCACAGTACAAAAGTATTACTTATTTTTATAGATATATAGCTATGTTAAAAAAATTGAAAGTACTTATAACTTTAGACAGGTATTTGAAGTGAAAGATATTACACAATTGACAATAAAATTTGGCATAAATTGTGTTAATGATGCTAAAAATAATATTAAATAAAATCAATTATGAATATAGGTGATTCATCATTTTCTTATAACTTTTTGTTTCCAGTTGGTGTCTGAAAAAGTCATGTTTTTACTGTTTGTTAGATACATTGAGATTATAGAGCATTTATTGTTATTTATTAATACATATATAAAAAAGTAATTATTTAACGAAGATTCGAACCCCATTTAGCAGAGACTCAAACCCTCTTAGCTGAGATTCAAATCCCAACCTCGTGAAAACTTGACTTTCTTGGTTTAAATGTATGTGAATGTATGTAATACATATATATATAGCTGCGAAGATGTGCGACCTGTCAAATAAAAGTGTTCTTCGTCATTTCAGCTATTAGAAAGATATCTCGCGAGTCTAAAGTCGTAGATAGTCTGGCATTCAATTAAATTGCAGTTGTATGCGCGAGATGTGTCAGTGGCATGTGATACGGGCGATTGAACGAGATTTATTGCGATGTAAGTTAGGTTATGCCCCGAGACTCGGCGAATAAAGCGAAAGGTCTCTGCTGCAGGTCACGCGTTATTTCCTAGCGTTGTCCCATGCGTAGGAACTAATGGCTCGTTCCTCTATTTCGGCACAATGCGATCTGGTCGCGTCGTACATGGACGGCGTTCACGTGAAAATCGCGGAGGCCTACAAGCCACCAAGAAAGATCGGTCTACCCGCGGCATACAACAACCGATTACCGGATGTATCAAAGCTGACGTACGACTTCAACTTGGAGAAATCGGTACTTGAAAAGGTGAAGCATAATCTATTTGTTAAGACCCATAATATTTTAATATTCCATGTAATATACCATACAGAGATTTTGTGACTTGTTTGATGGCTTCTCGTTTAAGCAAACCTATCGATAACTTGATGAATTGATTTGTAATCAGATGTGTGAATGGCGTAAGGCTAGACAAGCTTATAGCAAGGCACGTCAGGCTCGGCTGGAAGAGAAGATAAAAAAGGAGAAAGAAGAAACTCCTCCCTCACCTCCTCCTTTGCCACCTGATTGTGTGAAACAGCTGCCTATTAATACAGCGCCTGCTCCTGAAACGACAATACTTACACCTCAACCTCTGTCACCTCCAGTCAATGATCTCCAGGATCTTCAGGATCATACAAAGACCAATGGAGATCTCGACTATGCTGATTTCGATAATGACACAAGTAGCCCCTTCGACAATATGGAATTGAAAACCATCAATGACATGGAAGAACTAGCACAGGTTAACGAAATTAATCTCTCTATAAATTTCTATAATAAATATTATTAACGTAGGATTGCAGGAATCAATTTAATAGTTGTATTAAGATTGGTATTTTATGCACGCAGGTTTTACAGCCTAGATCACAGTGGATACCAGCAGGAAAATTGGAGAATATAATAAATGAACTATCGATCGACAATACGGAAACTCACAAGGAAGAAAAAGTTGACGAGATGAAAAATCAAGTAGATAGTCAAGTAGATGTAGATGTGCATAATGTTGAAAATCATCGCAGTGTCTCAGCAATAATGCAGGATCTCCAAAAGGAGTTAGACCGGCCTGTTATGGAGGTAATAAAACTTTTTCTTTTCCGTGGTGTAAAGTAATTGAGTTTAGTTACTTTTTGATTTAATTGATCTGTCCTTGTAACAGAATTGGAAGCCATGGCCTGATCTGGAAAGTCCAGATAGCGATGTGCCTTCAATTCCAAAGCACAATGATTCGACGAATCATGTGAAACAGTCAGATTTGTTATCCAGTATGACAGAGGATGATCTAAAGTTAGTCACACAGTTGGGCGATATGGGATTTCCTGTACTTAGAGCAGCACGCACAGTGTTGGAGCTAGGTCGTATACACGAGAAGAAAATTGTAGAATATCTATTAGCTGTTCAATCTCTAGAGGAGAACGGCATTCCGGGTGACTATGCTGAAAAAGCATTGACACTTGCGCAACATGATCAATATAAAGCGAAAATTTACTACGAGAATTTATGCACGTTGAAAGATCTAGGATTTCCTGAGGACGAAGCTTCTGCGACGTTAGTGAAGTGTAATTTCGATCGCGATAAGGCGTTAGATCTTCTAATTGCTTGAACGAACTATCAAAACGGCATCCATAAGATATAATAGAATATTTTTTGCGATTTGATTTTATGCGGAAGCAGGTAGAATCTGTGCAGAAAAAAAAAATAGAATTTTTATATCGCATGGAAGATACTTTGCCTTATAATCGCAACGTATATTTTAATAAAAAGAAAAAGATAGTATTCAGTGAGACTAGTCTTGAATAACGAAACCTGAAGAAAGTTACATTCTCAATCCATAATTTAATTCAGTATATAATTTATTATGACATTTGAATTTCTACTGGGCATTATTAAACAATCGGTTATAACTGATTGTTCCAAAATAAATTATAATCATAATAAACTAAAAACTCAATTTTACAAAATATCACAAGATTTCAATTGTATATGCAAGAATTTTTTTATTTTCCTAATATCTTTTTGTGTACAGAAGTGTGTTAATTAAGTACCTAATGACGAGAGTTTAACATCAATTGATGGAGTGCCAATGAAGCTTAATAGTCGTGTTCGAGCATGTAGCGAATGCAGTGGCGCAACTGCAAAGTTAGAGACGACTTATAAACTGATACACTCAGGTACTACAATTATTTTATACATTACCTTTTACTACAACATAGAGCTATCGTTATCATGGACTCTGCGTGACGGCTGATACCGATAATAATCCACGCTTCTGTGAATATAGGTTGCTGACACTGGGAGTTTACGCAGATACTGGCGGGTCCGTTTGTTAATAAACTGTATAAAGCATAATTCATAGAAGACCATGTAAAGTCCGGTTTAATATTCTTAGAGAGTGGTTTGTAAAGTATCGTTACGTTTGTGGGAGAAACATCGAGCGTATGTTTATACCTAAAATGTACTCGCGTTAAATTATGAGATATTTATAATTGTGCAGAAAGAGATGAAGATATTTCTGTTTTTGCGTTCCTCAATTACCTCTCAGTATAAACTTTTCTCAACGCTAATTCCCACAGGGAACAAGTTACATTCTCGTGAGCTTCGTGAACCCTTAAAAGCTGCCGTGGTAATTCGATTATAACATCGTCATTCGTTTCATACAATCCCTTCATCTCTATGTACAATTTGATATTTGTGTTTAACACATTGGTGTTGTAATGCGTCTTAAAGCATCTGTGATTGTATATACATACACGCATAGATTGTAAATCTACTTTATATATATACATACTTCAAAGTGAAGAAACGGCTGTTCAACATTTATTTTCCATTTACGCATATTTATTTGTTTCTAGTCAACGTCTCGAAGGAACTTACCCGAATGCCAAAGCAGCTCTATCGTGAATAGCTGTCATTTGAAGTCGTGAAAGTAGTTGAAATAGAAGTGGATACGAGACATAATTTAAATACTCATTCGCGTCAAATCGAATGCAGGGAGCTGACAAAAATCCATTCAACGGTAAATATCGCAACCTGCATAAACATGTGTTACACTAAGCTCAGTAATATAACTTAAACTATATTAATTACATACATAAATTTCTGAATAGATCTAAACAGATAAAATACTGATTTCGTAAACCTGTTTGAACATGCAGAGATCATAGCAAGTTCTGCAGCCATTGTTAATCTGTTAGGTAGTTCTTTCAGTTTATTGTTATCTACATATAATTCTTTAAGTCTTGGTAGAGAGCCGGTCCACTCTGGTAATGCAACAATCTGGTTACCCGAGAGAGACAATATCTCCAGATTACTCAGTTGGCTTAATTCTGTTTTCAGTTGTCATTTATGTTAACAAGTTCTTCGTTTTCACAATAGAATGTATCTAATTATAATCACATTTACCTGCCGGCAATCTTTCTATGAGATTGTCATTTAAGAGTAAAGACTTAAGATTACTCAAGTTACCGATGCAGACGGGTACTTGTTCCAATTTGTTGGCACTTAAGTCCAATACTGTCAACTGGCTCATCTCACCGAATTCTGTAGGCAGCTGTTTGATTAGATTACCATACATGTACAAATTGGTTACATTGAATAGTTCCATGATCCAAGATGGCAAAGTGGTAAGCTTGTTCCACTTAAGATATATCTCTTGAATGTGACTGCCATGCAGTCTTATCACTTCTGGAAACTCTGAAAGACCACGACAGTTCCAATGCAGTATGATTTTTCTCTTGACTTCGTTTGCCATCTCTATGGAATCTGGGTCCATGGTTAAAGGAAATTAGATAGGCTATTTTGGAATCTCCAAGCCAAGGGTGACAGTCAACGTTAAAATTGGTGGAATTAGTTTGCATTTCTGAGGTTAACAGACAACCGAAGGCAAACATGCCCAAAATAACTTGACCTGCTTGCTACATCTGTATTAATAAACCTGCATGATGGTAGTCAGACAAAAATATTTCATTCTATTATTCCGCACAATTGGTGTGCAGTCAGTGCGCTCTGTTTCCGAGCGAAATTGAAGTATCGAAAAGGAATAAATTAACGTTTTGACGTTTTGCTCACCCATGGCGAATTAATAACTGGATTATTGTTAGTCGGGACTGGAATAATATGTTAGTATCTTAATTTGTCTGATGTCAAAACGCGCAGTTAAACTCGATTAAAAAACATATATATTTACTTTTTTGTTTCCTTTCTGTGTTGATAAATCCAGTGCATTTTATTCTGTGTTATCCTTGTTCTCTTCCGTTTTCTCGCTTGTCATCTCTTGTTCGCACTTGTCAGTCTTTTATAATGCATTATATGTATACATATGTAAAGATATCGGTGATACGAAACTAACCTGCGTCAGCTATCAGCTGATGTATAATATAATATATAACTCTGCTTTTATTATAACAAACATGCAGATAGGATTTATCATAATTTATCGGAGATAATAAGAAAAAGAAAATTCTGTTCCTTGTGCATAATCTTTATTTCGGCATCAGTATCCGTAAATATATAATTGCGTTACGATAATTTGAAAATATTTTTCGATAGATTGCGATAAGATGTGCGATTCTTTTCGATACATTATTAACAATATAGAGAGCAGCACCGCTTACTTAAAATCCCTAAAATTTATTAGTGTGGTAACTCTGATAGGAGCTGTAGAGAATGGTGAATAGTTCGTAGCATTTGGATAGGATTTATTTCGACGTTGCACGTGTTCAAACAAATCTACGAAAATGGCAGAAGAAGGTAATTAATATTATTATATGCGTTGTAAATTACTTTGAATACTTTTATCTACGTCGTTTTAACAGAAAGTAATTCTGTTATAATCCATGATTTCTGTTATAAATTTCGCCTTTCTGCATTCCGTGATAAACACGTGTCCGCTTGTTTTATAGTAATTTACAATGATAGTATCGTTTAAAGTACCGAAAAATGTTGACGAATCGAGAGCTGTTGCACAATAAATTTGCACTGACATACAGTTTTAAGAATCTTGATTGTTTTATACGATTATTAAATGGAAGTTATAATGTAGGTTAAGATAGGTTAAATCGTATCTTATTCTTCCTGTAGATAAAACCAAGAAGAAGAGCAAAAAGAAACCGCTCGGCGAAATTCAAAAAACAATGAAGTGCGAGCTCGAGCCCTCGAGTGAAAGCGTAACACTTGATTGTAAAGATTGGCCTTTATTGTTTAAGGTTGGCTTCTTTTTGTTAATTTTTATATGCGTGTGATACAGTTACATGACAACGACAATCAATAGAATTCAAAATAAATGTTTTCTTTGTTTATTGTAGAATTTTGACAAGATGCTTACACGCACAAAACATTTCACACCATTAACATGTGGTTCCACCCCACTCAATCGAAGCTTATCAGAATATATTAAGTCAGGATGCATCAATTTGGATAAACCATGCAATCCATCGTCGCATGAGGTGGTAGCTTGGATAAAAAAAATTTTAAAAGTGGATAAGACGGGCCATTCTGGCACATTGGATCCTAAAGTATCAGGATGTTTAATAGTCTGTATAGATAGAGCCACTAGATTAGCCAAATCACAACAGTCCGCAGGAAAGGAATATACCGCTGTGTTTAAACTTCATTCCGCAGTAGAAAATGTTCAGAAGGTGAGTTACCGAATATTGTTGAGATACTACATACATCAATTTTACAAAAATACAATGATTTAGGTGCAACAAGCATTGGAAAAGTTACGTGGTGCTCTCTTTCAAAGACCACCATTGATATCGGCGGTTAAGAGACAGCTTCGTGTTAGAACAGTTTACGACAGTTGGCTTCTCGATTACGACCAGGAGCGCAATATGGGAGTATTTCGCGTCAGCTGCGAGGCCGGTTCGTACATTAGAACCATGTGTGTCCATCTTGGACTTTTTTTAGGTACCGGTTGTCACATGCAAGAGCTGCGAAGAGTTCGTTCTGGTGTTCAGTCTGAAAAAGATAATATGGTTACTATGCACGATATCCTTGATGCACAATGGTTGTATGAAAATCACGGGGACGAGTCATATCTGAGAAGGGTTATAAAACCTTTGGAAGCACTTCTGGTGAATCATAAGAGAATCATCATGAAGGACAGCGCAGTATGTTTTTGATTTTGTATATTAATTAAAATAATATAAAATTGAATATTTTAATGATATTGTATTCCATTAAATTTCTAGGTAAATGCAATTTGTTATGGAGCTAAAATAATGCTGCCAGGGATTTTAATGTACGATGAAGGAATAGAATTAAATCAAGAAATTGTCATAGTGACAACCAAGGGTGAAGCTGTAGCGCTTGGTAATTATATTTCCAAAGTATTATAGCTAGCCACACATTATTTAACATAGCCTAGCGCACTGTCTGCTCGAAAGTGCTACATATTTAATTTATCATTTCTGTTTCTATTTATTTAGAAAAAATTATACTTTGCAAATATTTAAGCAATTTATTTAATTTATATTACTTTAGCTATTGCATTAATGACCTCTTCAACTATGGCTATGTGTGATCACGGAGTGGCTGCAAAAATCAAGAGGGTAATTATGGAAAGAGATGCGTATCCAAGGAAATGGGGTTATGGGCCTAAAGCATCGCAAAAGAAACGTATGATAGCTGAAGGGAAATTAGATCAGCATGGAAAACCAAATGAAAATACGCCATCTGATTGGTTACAAAATTACACAGACTATTCCGCGACAAAGGTAGCAGCAACAGAAATTAAGGCAAGTCAATTAAACTAATGATTTTTCTATTTTTTCAATCATATTATATAAGATCACTCTTATAAAGTATTCATTAAATGTAGACGGAGAAAAATGGTGATGTTGAAGTATCTAGTGCTGCTAAAAAGAGAAAATTTGAAGAGACAATAATGGATACATCAGTTTCTATAAAACAAGAAGAAATACCTGAGAATCCGGAAACATCACCGAAAGATAAAAAAAAGGATAAGAAAGAGAAGAAGAAAAAGAAAAAGAAGGAGAAACAAGATACGGAAGGCGAAGAGTCCATGGTGATGGAAGAAGATGCCAGTGGGGTAATTAGAATTATTCTTATAATTAGATGTATAAAAAATTCAAATATTGTATATTGCATAAATACTTATGTATTGCAGGAATCTCCAGTGAAAGAAAAAAAGAAAAAGAAAAAGAAAGATAAAGACAAAGACTGAAAACCCATCAGTCAACAGAATAAAAAAAAAAATTAAAATTACAAAAAAAAAATTAAAATTTGATTAAAAAAGAATATATGTAATGTTTATATATATCAAATTTAAATATATAGTTAAGTATTATGTACTGTATATATATTCTTTTTTAATTATACTAAGTAATTATAATCAATATCGCAACATTTTATACCATTAGTAATGTTAACTCATTAAGGATCGATGCATTTGGTTTGTAATTTTGCAATCTTCTCGGCATATTTTATCATGTGAAATATTTAAATCTTAGAAAACGCAGACATGTATAATCTCAAATAAAAGCATAATTTTTTAAACAAAAAATTTATATAATTAATAATTTGCTTTGATGTTTCGCCAGAACAAAAATGATTATATTGGAGCACAAATTTGTATCCCCTTTCCTTGAGGTGTTAATTGTGATTTCTCTTATATTATGCATTGTTATAAATCGCATGATACAGTATATAAATTTTTAACAAGACAAAATATATTGTTGATAAGATAAATGTAAGAAAAACTTATCAAATTCGGCTAAATACAAATTCTGAGGCAAGAACTGAGCTGATTGATATTCTTAAGTAAGTCCTTTTAATATTCATCTCATCAATAAGATATTTTGTGTTTTGTTCGTTAAACATTTACATGTTATGTAATTTACAACAATACGTAATATTCAGTCTGATAATATTAGATAATTTATACCAGATTTGTACAATAACATTATTTTTAATAAA